CCTTCCTACCTGGTGGAGTCCAGCGAAGGCTTCATGCGGCCCTGGCTGCTCTCCTCCCACACGCTGTTGGCCAGCTCGTTCCCGATGGCCGACAGCACCTTGATGAGCTCGCCCGGCCAGTCGTCCAGGTCCAGCGATCGCACTCGCGAGAGGTGGGTGCCCAGGTGGCGGTGGATGCCGGAGCACTCGATGCACATGAGCGCCCCCAGGTTCAGGCTGGCCCAGTTGGGGTCTGCGGGGAGAGCAGGCCGTCAGGCTCGCGCCCGCGCAGCCCAGAGACCCTCCCGGCAGTGAGCAGGGGTCTGGGAGGCCGGGCCCAGCCAACCATGACCCCCGCAGCGACCCTGAGGCGCGCTCCTGCGCCCGGGGCAGCGCCCTTGCCAGGGCAGACGTGCGAGGGCAAAGTCCGAGCGCCGGGGTGGGGGCAGCTGGCCCCGCAGACACACACCCGGGCGGTCGCCTCTGCGGCAGCCGCCGGCAAACTGCAAATTTCAAGGGTCAAAGAGAAGCTCACGGCCGTGGACAGTCTGACGTCAGCGGCCTCGCGGTGACCACCTAAGCGGCCGAGGCCACCTCACACCGCCTCTGTGCTCCGGGATCCTCCTCAGCGCCCTGCGGACCGTCTCTGTCCCCGCAAGGGCCCCCCTCGAGGACCCAGCCGGGCGGCACCCCGGCGAGCCGGGCCGGGTGTCCGCGATCTGTCCCCCGAACCGTCAGCCGTGGCCTCTCCTGCTTCTTTCGTCCTCGGGCTGCCTGCTCTGGTGGCCAGGCTGCCCTCACCCTCAGGGGCCGCGCCCTGAGGCCCCGGGGCGCCCGGTGGGGCGCTGGAGACAGCCCCCCGAGGGAGCGCGGCCGGCTCTGTACGTTAAAGACTTTTTGATAAAGACGCCTCAAGTAATTCCTTCTCTCCTTTCACCCGGCCTCACCACGCTCCCGGGCTAAAATTTTAAAAGTCAAACCAAAAAAGACACTCGGACGAAGCGCCCGCTGACCTGGAGGGCCCCTCTGGCCTGGAGGCGCGGCCATGTCCGGGCTCGCCGCCCTTCCCTAGGATCACCCCCGAGTTAGGCCCCGATCCCTGGATCCCGGAGGGCCCCCCTTGACCCGGCGGCCTCGTCTCCCCAGACGGCAGGGCGGTCAGGCTCCCAGACAGCACGGAAAGGGCCAAGGGGCTGTGATGGGGACCGGCAGGGGCCCCTCCTGCGGGAGGCGGGGGGCTCGGCCCGGCTGATGTCAGGCCCTCACCGGGTGGCCCTGCTCCTGGATCTCTCCTGGGGAGCCGGGGTGCAGCAAGGCCAGGCACGTGGGTGGCTCTGGGGTGAGGGGCGCCGTGTCCCAGTCTGGGAGGAAGGAGCTCAACTCCAGGGGGCCACCCCCGCCTCGCGCCAGGCTGCCCCGCGCCCCCGCCCCGCGGGCACTCACTCTGGGTCTCGCAGTCCACGCAGTGGGAGTTCCCTCGGATGTTCCGGATCGACTGCAAGGCCATGGCCTCGCTCTGGCTGGTCAGGCGCGACTGCGCATGTGGAAGACAGAGAAGGGCGGCGTGAGGAGCCGGGAGAGGCCGCACGGGCGGGCGCCGCGGAAGGGCCACCGGGCTGGCGGGCG